CTGATGCCTGTAGTAAAATGATGGTTAATATTTAGTAAATCCCAACCATGGGAGAAGCACTATACATTATCTCCCTTAATCCTCACAATAGTAAGAGGTATTAATTTTATCAATAAAGAAGCAGGATTGGAAAGAGTTTCAGTGCTTCCAAGAACACATGAGTAAATGGTGGATGCAAATTTAGCCTCAAATTTCTTCAGCTCTATAGCCCGTGCTCTTTATATCATATGCACTGCCTCTTATATTTATTCATCTCTGATGCCTAGAACACAGATTAATACTTGGCAGAGAGTGGGTGCTCAATAATAGTTAACAAGTAAATATATAAATCAATGAAACATATTCTCAAGCTTGCTGCCCAGAGTGGATTTAAAACAACTTTAATATCAGGATTTATAAAGAATGTTTAGCCTCTTTTGGCATCATATTCCTCTTTAAAAGCTGGGTATGAATATCCAGTCTTGAAGGGGTCTGTAGCTAGGCTCAATACACCTAGTTTTGTCTATTGTTTTCAATTTTAGATTTTCTTTCCCTGGCTACCGAAGGAGACAGCTATCCTCTATTGTCCACACTGCTGATGCATCTTGGGCACTATTTGTAAGAATTCTGACCCTTTTACACACTGCCTTGCCTCTTGGGAGGTCCTATTAATACCCTAGGACAACACACATGTCCTATGACTCTTGCATTTTACATGCCTGCAAAACTAGCACAACACAGATGACACTGTCTCCTGTCAGTGTGACTGTACCTGGTCCCACTTAAATCATGGCTGTATGGCCTCAGAGTGCCTTGCTGGATGGAAATGAAGCCTAAAATGCTTCTATCCCCACCCTAATACCCCAAAACCACCCCGAGCCAAGCATTTGAGTGAGGTTATATGGATCTTTTCTCCTCTGCCTCCCAATATAGATCTATAGACTAAGGCTGGGGAAAGGGCAGTTTCCCAAAGAAATTATAGGCACACTCATGTCTCCATGTCACACAAATACTACAACTGTGAAATAATCTATTATTTTGAATATAGGTAATGATGTTTAGTGTTTTAGATACAAGTCTCTTGATCTTTCAACAGAACTACAAAAAGGCAAAGGATACCATTATGTTCTCAAGAAAACTCTTTAAAGGATCTAGGTTGAGATCCATGTGAGCACTCTTTAGAGCTCTATAATTCATGGTGCCTTTTATATATGTATGAATATTTTGGTTCTATTGCTTGTATTAATGGCTTTAGAGGTAAAATGTTTGCCTGACATAACAGGCCTGTAAAAACTGCCTGTAAAAACAAGGCACAGAAACATGTTTACAATACGAGTAGTCATTCTAAACCCATTTTACTTGTAATATAGGTAACATTCTCATCCTGCCCTTTGTACTTTGTACTTCCTCATCATGGGAGTTTAGGGCCAGGTAATCTATTGACAAGAGGAGTGAAACAAGAAGGGTTCTGGGTGACAGGGAAAAAACAGCTACCGGCCAGTGTATGTTCTACTGCTTCGGTTTGAACACAACTTCCTATTCTAGTTAATTAAAGGCTCAGTTCAGCTGACACTTGATGTAGCAAACTCCCCTGGGCAATTCTCCGTCCACCTCCTCTACCCTGGTGCCCTGTTATTGTTCCATAAGCCCCTGACACTTTATTGTTGCAGTACTCTTCTGTTTCATCAATTTTAATGTTCATCCATTTCCCCCACACCAGACAGTAAGCTCCCTGAACACGTCTTATTTCTCCACATCTCTAGCACTTAGAGAAACTTACACAGTAGTCATTCAATAAACACATTTTTTACCAACAAATGAACAAGTACTTGGCCTCTATGAGGCCATGTAAGCTTTGACTTTGCTGACTTTTATGCAGCTAACTCTTTGATTTCATGGCTTTCAGCTGCTTTTATCTCTGAACTTGGAGGAAAACAAGAGTGGAAGGAGTAGGGTCTGGACATTTCTCTGTATATTCTGTGGTTATTTCTCCCCTAACATCTTCCATGGATACCTCGGGGATCAACTAAAGCTATGATGAAATAGATTATGTAACACCATATGTTTCTCCCCTAGTATGCAACTTCAGTTTCATCTACAGCAGTGTTAGTAATGTGTGTGCATTTGTGTTTGTATGGGTGGGTAATAGGTGTTGACATTGTATTAATGAAGGAAAAGTCAAATATAATTAGACAAGCACACAACTTTTATGTTGTAATACATGAGTGGATCTCTGGAGTGGACCTATAAATCTGAAATCTGTAGGAGCAAGTTTTATTTCATTAATCATTTAATAACTCAAATCTCCTAATATATTAATTTGTATGGATTTGTAAAAGGGAAATCACCACTTTATCTGTCACTTTGGGATCCTGTCTGTACCTTTGATCAAAGCCTCATTACACTTTGAAAATGAAATAATTCTCATTATAGACTCTGTGGAATGAATTTTCCTGTATTATATTACACACACACTCTCTCTCTCTCTTTTTTTGCTGGGGATTGTCATCAGATGGACCAGTCTTTGAGCTCACCTTGATATGACTAAATCCACCTATTGAAAATCTGACCTTTACTTTTGAAAGTACCAGCCCCTTTGTACATTTTTCATGTATTTAATTATAATACAAATAGAACACATTTAGAAAATTCTATAAAATACCAACATCTTTAGCAGTTATAATTGTTTTCAAATATCCTTTTACTAGGCTATTTTTGTAATCATAATTACTAAATTTGCAACTTGCTGTTTTTAAAACACTGCCAATTCTTAAAAAATTTAGACTTTTGTCTACAAATATGTGCAAGAAATGTTTTGATGCTGGTGTAAGAGTATAATAAAATAAGTGGTGACATTATCAATGACTTTAGAACTTCAGACTGCATATCTGCAATGATCTTTAATTTAAATGATGATGCTTTTACTCTCCTGAAGGAAAAATGAATTTTGTAAAACAGGCAAAGGCAAAAAAAAAAAAAAAAAAAAAAAAAAAAGACAAAATATAGATTTCTCCACCAGCTATGAGAGTAAACTGCAGATGTCACATTTCTCAAGTAAACTACTGCTGGTTTCATGATTGTTACTTTTTTTTTTTTTTTTGTCTTTTTCATTTTCACGGGTACCAGGGATCGAACTCATGACTGCCTGCTTGCAAGGCAGGCGCTTATGCCGCTGAGCTAAATCCCCAGCCCCATGATTGTTACTTCTTATGGATAGCTCAGAGCTAAATCCCCAGCCCCATGATTGTTACTTCTTATGGATAGCTCAGCGGCATAAGCGCCTGCCTTGCAAGCAGGAGTTCGATCCCTGGTACCCATGAAAATGAAAAAGACAAAAAAAAAAAAAGTCAGTCTCTGGGCTGGGGTTTAACTCAGCGGCATAAACACCTGCCTTACAAGTGTGCAGTCCTGAGTTTGATCCCCTGGTACCGATAAAAAGGAAAAAAGACAAAAAAAAAAAAAAAAATCAGTCTCAAACTAGGTAATGTTTACTTTTGTAACTTGCTCTTTGGCTTGAACTTCTCATGGAAAAATACTGAGGTCAACAGTGGTAAGTGCATGTCTTTGGCTTTGTCTCAATATAAGAGGCACATTCATAAAATTGGCATATTTTAGACACTAGGAAGGAAGAGAGTTACTTACATCTACTCTTCACAAGTGTCCAGAACAAATTTACTTTGAAATGGGCACTGTAAGAGGTGGCCCTGACATTTCGGGTGAAGCAAAGTGAATGACAATGATTTCTTTTGTTCCATGGTAGGAAGAATGCAGACTCTAGAACTCTGTAGGCTGAAATGTTATTATGAATTACGACACTGAACACGAAGAGTTTTGCTTGACTCGATTTTGTTTTTTTTTTTGGTCTAATCTAAGGCTTGTATTTCTACCTCTACCATTTGAAGGCATCCTCTCCAATTCCCAGTATCAATCAGGGTGGATATATGTAATTGAATATTGGAGTAAATATAATCTGAAAAGAAACTGGATGTAAGAATATGTATTGTATTGTTAAGAAATATTTGGGTTAGCCAGGTGTGGTGATGCACACCTGTAATCCCAGCACTTGGGAGGCTGAGGCAGGAGGATCTTTGTAAATTTGAGATGAGTTTGAGATCCCTGTAAGTTTGAGATCTTTGTAAGTTGTGGCCTGGGCGACAAAGTGGGCCCAAGGTCAGCCTGAATTGCATAGTGAGACCCTGTCTCAAAGAGACAAAAGAAACCTTTGGATGTAAGGTTCTTCTCAACCATATGGATTAACCAAATTGACTCATTTTTTAATGGCTGAATTAAACTGTATTTCTCCATGGGTTATCATTCATCTCTTATTTTTTATGGAAGCAGTAGAGGCGAGTGTGTGAAGATGACAGGTGAAGGTGCTCCACAAACCGAATCATGGGGAGCCTTGTGCCACACAGGGGTAACTGGATTCTTCAGAAAGGAATCTAGTTGAAAGGACAAGGTTGCCATTTTACTTTTAACAGAGAACTAGCACGTGGCTGGCGCTCTCTCGGCAGTATTGCAGCCCCAGGTGCCCACCAGTGTGTGCCTGGGCTGCCCAGAAGTTTGAGATCCTGTTGTCCAACCTCGGGGTCTGAAGTTTTAGAACTAAATACTTCTACTGAGTGGAATAAACGTGACCCTTTCCCATCAGAAGCTGTAGACTGTTCACCCTCGATTCCAGCCAAACCCCCGCGCCCCGATCCGTTTCTCTCGCCCAACTCCTGGCTGCCCTCACCAAAGGCGGCTGCACCTCTAGGCCGCGGGCAGATGTCAGTCCAGCCTGGGCAGGACACTTCCGGGGGCTCCGCGCTAGAGCCCCGAGCGGCAGCGGCGCCAGGCCCGCGCGGCCCGGCAGGGCGGGGGCGGGGCGGCGGGCCCGGAGCGTGCGCGCGCACCTCGCACTCCGCGCCCGGGGACGCCCACTCGCGAGCCGGGGCGGCAGCGGCCAGCGCCTCACCGCCCGGTCTCCCCCGCCCGGCTTTTTTCGGTGCTCGCCAACGGCTGCTGGGCGCGAGCCTGTCCTGGGCTCCCTGGGCCCGCGGAGGCCGGGACCGAGGCCTGGGCCGCATCCCCGCGCCGCCTCTTCCGCCGCCGCCGGCGCGAGCTGTGAGGGTTCGGGAGGCGGCTCGGAGGCGGCAGGAAGGAGACGGAGCCGACCTCGGCCCGCCGGAGACGCGATCGCTCCGAGCGCGCGCGGCCGCCCGCCTCCCGGGGCGGAGCGAGGAATGAGTGAGCGCCTGCCCCGGGCTCCGGGACCCAGAGCCGCGGCCCGACTTCCTCCCCCGCCGCGGAGGCGCGGCGCGGGCAGCGGCGGCCTCGCTGGCGGAGCGGACGCCCGGGCTTGTTGAGCCCGCCGCGGCGAGGACGAGGACGAGGAGGAGGAGGAGGAGCCGGGCGGGGGCGGCCGCCGTTCCCTCCCCCGCACTCGGCGGCCGCTGGAGGAGGAAGTTCCGCTCCCTGACTAAGCCTGGTGGTGGCGGCCGGCGGCTCCGAGGCTCAGGTATTTGGGACGCGGCCGCCTTTCGCGTCTGCCGGTCGGCAGCACCGGATCCCTGGTGGAGCCCGGAGCCCCCTGGGCGGTGTCGGGAAGCGCGGCGGCCGACGGCTTCTTCCTGCTCCTTCCCCGGGCGCTGCTGCTTGGGCTTCCCGGCGAGGAGGGAGACCGTCCCTGCTTCAGACTTCTAGGGAGACCTTCATGTTTTCCCACAGAGGCTCAGATACTGCGGAATAGAGGCGACGGAGGAGACGAAGTGAGCCTTGTACAACTCCCATCTCGCCAACCTCCGTTTTGAGCATCTTAACTGAGGTGCAAGAATGGAAGAACCCACCTTGTAGCTTTTCTGCAGTGTGGCTTGCCGGCTGTACTCCTAGGAATGAGCAGGAGACTTACAATAACCTGACGAAGTACTGAAAGCCAAATGGTAGGAAGATGCCACACGACATAAATTAGCGATCGTTAAGGAGGCCACTCGGGTTTTTGCGTGTAATTGGACGAGAGCGAAAGAGGTGCTCTCTGAAAAAAGCACAACAGTCCTTTGAGAGGAGAAATACAGAGTTTAGCCACTTTTGCCAAGATTTTGAAAACCGTTCAGTGTGTTGTACATTTGATACAAGATGAGAACTTTATGAAGTGTTCTGAGCAAGAGCCTAAACGATGACTACCCCAGCCCTGCTGCCCCTGTCTGGACGCAGGATACCGCCTCTGAACCTGGGGCCACCTGCCTTCCCACATCACAGGGCTACCTTGAGACTGTCTGAGAAGTTCATCCTTCTCCTTATTCTTAGTGCCTTCATCACCCTGTGTTTTGGGGCATTCTTTTTCCTTCCAGACTCTTCAAAACACAAACGCTTTGATCTGGGTTTAGAGGATGTGTTGATTCCTCATGTAGATGCAGGCAAAGGGGCAAAGAACCCTGGCGTCTTCCTGATCCATGGACCTGATGAACACAGACACAGGTTTGTTTATTTTAGAAATTCTAGTGTTAACATGTAGCAGAGCAAGGTAGGGTTATTAGATCTAATCTGTCTCTGTCTCTGCTTTTTTTCTCTAGTAGTTAAACGTGTAATAATCCTGAGTTGTTTTAGTTCAAAACTGGCTGAGTAGAACTATGGAATGAAAGGATTACTGGAGTCTCACCTGAAATCCAGGTGCTTCGTTTTTCATAAAGAAACGTGTGTTCAGAGTTATGGCTGACGTGGACCTTATTACTTGATTGACATTTCCTTGACTTTTGTTAAACGTTATGAAGTAGTTCTAATGTTTCTTTATATTTTGTACTTTTAGATTAATTTTGTTGCTTAATGTGACTTCCAAAAGAATCTGATATGATCTGTGAAATGTAACTAAAATTAACAAAGTAATTTTTCTTGAAACTTTATTTCCTCATTTATATAAGCTATGATAAGTATTTGGGAAAACTATGTTATTCAAAACTGGCATCAGAACTCTGGCAGCAGCTATGCATTAATATTATTATTGTAGGAAATGGTCATATACTAAATGGATGGGTTCCTTTATATTTTCCATAGTCTAAAAAGATAAAAAATGACCAATTTCTAGATTAAAGACATTTATATAGAAAAATTCTCAAATGCATTTAAAATCTAAAATTTGAATGAAAATGTAGATCTTTGCATTTTTTTCAGTGTAAAAGAAGTCAACATAAATAATGTAAAGAAGAATTCTTAAATTTATATGGCCCATGAACATAAATGTGTGTGTTTTCTTGCTATTCCAGACTCCTGAGGTCAGACTTTGAAGAAAGAAGATGATTATAAAGTTCTGATAACAGAGGGTGATTAGTCAGCCACATTCTGAGTTTTAGATAGCAAAAGTATGGTTGGTAAATAGTGCATGTGAAAATTCACTGGAATCTCTGGCTTCTGAGTTTTGGAAAGGGAGAATTCCAATAGTTGAATTAGTGAAGAATCTCTGTATTCCTGTGGTTATATTGGTTTAATTTTTTACTTTTTTCTGGCTTACTTACTTGAAATTATGGTCCCTATAGTGATTATGGTCCCTATAGTAAAATTCTTTTACTTTGGAAAAGGAAATCAATTTAAAATCAGACCATTAAATTAAGATTAAAATGTGGAAATGCAAAACATCAAATTAATGTATAATACATAAATATAATATTGACAGTTACTAAGACCATATCTGTTTTGTACATGGATAAAGTTTTTTTCTTAATTTAGAAGACACATACTGATAATTTACCCGAATTTCCTACACATATGGAAGGATTATAGGGTAGAGTAGTGGTGGTGCATCTACGGCACATGTGTCACAGCAGGCTGTTTGTATCATTGAAAGCTGTAAGAGATTCTCCATCACTGGTATAGCAGGATGAGGGATGGAAGATAACTTGTTAGTTCTTATAACATCAATTAAAAGCTACAAATCAGATTGGTTTTAATAATGGATCTTTATTAATGGTATGTAAGATCTCAGTTACATATATTTAAACTGTGGTTTGCTGCTGATCAGAGGTGTGCTTTGAGCAAATTTAAAACTTCTGTTTCCTCTGTATGACGTTGATACCTATTTTACAGGTTGTACTGAATGAGATGTAACACTTAATACAGTTTCTAGGATTTAGTCAATTATCCGTAAACGTGTTTAGTACTAGTATTGTGATGGAATATTTTAATTCTGAGTTTGTGTTAAATAGTGTATGTTTCTGAAACACTGGGTACAGTTTGATTAATATTTCAAAAGTATTCCAGAGTTTTGTTGTCTAAAGAAACATTTTACAGTCAGACCACTGGTTAGCAGCAAATATGTATTTCATATCCTTTTGTGTTTTGGTACCAGGGATCAAACTCATGACCTCACGCTTGCCAGACAGGCGCCTGTGCCGCTGAGCAGTAGCCCCAGCCCTGCTGACCATTTTTTGTCGAATCCTATTTTTAAGAAGGTCCTGTATAAGCGGGTAGTGAATATTAGATAAGTGATTTTGGTTTTATGTATAAATGAGTGTTAGAAGGTTGTACTCGTGGTCAGAACATTTAATGGAGTGACTAGCGGATGCTGTGGAGTAGACAGCAGTGAGACTAGGGAAGGCTTCATTTGGAAAGTGGTCTAGAAAGTCTTTAATTAGTGTTGGAGAGAGGAGAAGGGATCCAAGCAGAGCGCAGCTGCAGGTGTGAGAGGCCTAAGGTTAAAAACTTTGTGTCATGAGGATCTGAGAAATGTCCATTAAGGCTGATGGAGAAAGTAGCAGTATGGGGCCAGATGATGAGATTAGGTGAGAGGTCCAGAGTTGTCTTGCATGCAGATTCTTTGAGCCTCCTCATTATTACCAAAATTTGAATTGGTTGTCAGCATTCACAGGTCTGGATATTTCATATCATGTTTAGCACTTCTGATTTCTCTTAAAAACTTACTCTAATTTTTTATTAGAGATTTAATTATTCAAGGCAACACCCGGATCTGTGTTTTCAGATGGAAACGCTCAGCTAGAGTCTAGTAGCAGCTGCTCCTATAAGGGGCGTGTGCTGTCCAGTTTTTGCCTCTGAATTGGGGTGTCAAATGAATAAATATATAGCAAATCAGTATTTAACCTGGTGGTTGTTGACTTTGCAGTCCCCACGGAGTATCCTGGAGCGTTTGTAGTTAAGTGATTTGGTTTTATTCTAAGTATACTATGAGGAGTCATTGATGCAAGGGAATGACATGATCATTTTAAGTTTTTAAACATTTTAAACAATCATTGTGTGGGGTGCTAAGTAGGATGGAGTCTCTGTGTCACAGAGGATATTGATTGGTAGAGAAGGAGAAAGATTAATGCAGAAAAGTTAATTCAAGAGTTGTTAAACTAGTAGATTTTATCAAAAGTGATGGTTAATGGTTGGTTAACTGTGGGGGATGATATAGAAAGGTAGAAGAGGGAGGGAGCCTAGAATAACTTCTAAGTTTCTGGATTGCCTGGCCTTGGATTAATAAGACATTTACATTATTTAATGAATGCCTTAAGTTGTGTAATTTATTTTACATGAAGTTAGTATATTTACATGAGGATTAAGCAGTTTACAATAATCCAGTGTCCCCCTCCCCCCCACGATTACACAACATGCATAGTTTGGGATGACTATTCCTTTCTGATTTTGAAGTACATTCGTTTTAATATACATGAATGTTGTAATATACACTGATATACAACAAGGGTCACCCTGGAAATTAAAATGTACTATAGTTTTTTCATTTTTGAAGCTGACATTTGTTTTATTTAATGGCATTGTATAAATGGGCTCTGTGTGTGCCCGTGCGCATGTGTTTATGTTTATGTGTGTGCTTGTAGATGAACTTAAACATTTATTTGGATAGCTGATGTTTCATTCTCCAGTCAAGATTTTGTTACTTTGAATTGACTGCTTGAGGCTCAGGTATAGTTTCTTCAAAGAGAAGAAAATGTGGGCATTATGGTAAGAAAGACCCTAATTATTTGCATCTTGGTTGAACTAACTAGCTATGTGAGATGGTACAACATATAATAATGACTAAATTTGTGCTGACCAATGTGGTAACAACTAGTTATCTAAGATTATTACACTTAAAATGTAGCTAGTTTTAATTATAGTGAGCTTTAGTGAGTTTCTTAGGTCATGTGATGATTAGTAGTTTATTTTTCATGTAAGAGTAAAAATACTCAATTGCACTATTGTAATTTTAATTTTCTTGTGCCTTTCCTCGTCTCATTCTACTTTCTTTGCCTTTTTTCTCCTATCCTGTATTTTTTTTTAAAATTCTGTTCTTTAAGGATTTATGCTCCTGTTTGAGGAATTTTTTAGTTTATCCCCTAATTTGCTGTATATTCCATTTCTCTTTTAATATATTTTCATCCATTTGGCTCATGGTTATTTTTCTGTTTCCCTTTATCTAAATGTGAATTATGTACGAACTGTTTGTACTTAACAATTGTCAAAAGCAGCCGGTGTAGGTGCCTTTGCTACATTATTATTATTATTATCATTATTATTTTGGTTTTTGTGTATAGTATTGAGTAAATACCCTGTTCAGCTCTATAGTTGGAGAACAAGTTTATCTGTCCAGCTCTCAGTCTTTCTCCTCTCTTCTACTTTCGGTAACATCTTCAGTAGTCATAACTGTTCTGTTGCTATTGTAGGTTTTTAATGTAATTTCCAAATTAGAGTAAAATACAGTTGACAGTCTGGGCAGTCAATAAGATGCCTTTTATCTTGTCCCTCATCACCCATCAATTCTGAATGTGATTTCCCACTTCCTTTACAAAAATCGTATAAGAGTCACTCAGTGACAGAATGTAGTTAAGTGCATAATAATTGAAGAAGGACTCTGTGCTCAGGATATAACAGTTTTGTGACTACAGGGAGTTTTTGTTCCGTTTCTCTTTGGGGTAGACCATTGGGTCTCTAAGGTAAGAGCAGTTGTGGTAGTGCTGTAGTTTAGGCTTTTGGGGGGAGGGATTATGAAATAAAACTTGGTTCTGTAACATCTAGGTATAGTTGCAGGTTTGTGAAAAGTTCTTCAAGATTCTGACATTAAGTTTGTGATGGGTATTTTTTTTTCTTTTTTGATAGGCTGAGGTTCTTTTTTACGTCATTTTCTGTGCTTTCCACAATTAGTATAATCATGTGAAAGAGGCTGAATGAAGGGGCTACTCACGGAATGACATTTTGTGTACTGTTATTTAAATTTTTAATTTTGATCCAAACAAAATAAATGACTTTGCTTTTTTCCATGTTTTAAAATTATTGAATATGTCAGTGTGTTTTTCATTCTTCTTCTAAAAATGAATAGAATTTTCCAGTGGCCTGATTACAATGCAAAATACTCAGGTTTTTCATGTTGGTCAGTGAATGTTGGCTGTTCTGGGAGATACCATCATAAAATGCCCATAATAAATGAATAATATTTATTGGTTATAATTAAATGTTTCAAGGAACAGAAACACTAATTCATTTGCTATAAAAGC